TCTTTTGTGAAACTGGGGATTAAACTCAGGCCCTTGTGCTTGCCAGGGAAGCACTTACTCCACTGAGCTATCTCCCCAGCCCCTAGAATATTTTCTTAAGGAACTAACATGCCTTTTTTTTTCTGATGTTGAGGGAAAAAAATTAAAGATTATGGTACTTACTGAGAAGGCATTTCATATACTTCTGAATTCTCAGGTGTTTACCTGGGGACAACATACTGTTTTTTAAATGTTTGATTTTCATATAATATGTTTCATTTTCGTATTATAGAAGATAGGATTTTTTTAATTTATGAAGAGGTTTATTTTAGCTCACATAAGGTAGGATCTTTTCATGTTTGTATTCTTGCAAAATTTAGTAACGTGCTTGGCACTTCTTTGTGTTTGGTTAGAAATTGTTGACTGTTGGGTGATGTAGTTGACAAGGCAATGGAGAAAGTACAAGTTAATAACTAGAATAAAAATGGAGAGAAGAGTAAGAAAAACTAAGACAAGATGTAGGGAGATTGAATAAGAATGATAGGTATGGAGTTGAGGGGAAATAAACATTCCTAATTATCAGATTGTATAAAGACCAAAATGATTTTTTTTAAAAACTTTTTAAGATTATAAAATAATAAATTAAAGTATACTTTTTGTTTCTTTGATCAGCTTATATAAAAATAAAAAATTACATAATTATTTTCTTTATGTTTGATTAGGCGCTTACAGTCCCTAATTAAAAATATCACACTTAGACGAACAAAGACAAGCAAAATTAAAGGAAAACCTGTTTTGGAGTTACCAGAACGTAAAGTATTCATTCAGCACATTACACTTTCAGATGAAGAGAGAAAGATGTATGAATCTGTGAAAATTGAAGGCAAAGCTACTATTGGAAGGTATGGAAAAAAAGAACCATGTTATAAATCTTTATTTCTTTCTCATTAGCCTAATTGCATTGTTGTAGAAATTATTGTTAATAAACATCTCAAGTATATTGAAAATGTTTAACAAATTAATAATTGAAGTAAATGAAATAATAGTATAATTTACCAGGTAAGTAATTCCTAAAGTCTAGAAAAAATAAGTTTACATAGAGCACTCAGTTCTGAATTGTTAGAAGACGTTGCTTGCTTCTTTTTCTGACTTTGTGTCATGAAGGCAGATAAATAACTTTTTTTTTTTTTTTTTTGGTATTTTAGGGAAGGGTCTTCAGGGTGTATAGGGTCTTACTGTGTAGATTGGATTTGTAGTGATCCACCTGTTTACAGCCCTTCAAGAGCTGGGATTCCAGGTGCCTGCCACCATACCCAGTCTCAATTGCTGCCTCAGCGCGCCCAAGGGGCAGGGCCAGCAGGGCAGGCCAGCCCCTATGCCTGCTTGCTGGATCTTTAATCCGCTGAGCTATTTGGTCGACCTTCGATAAATAACATTTTAGGGAGTACATACATATATATCTCTGTGTAAAACCTAGTAAGAGACATCTCTTTGAGGGGAGTATGTGGGATTCACAAATAAGATAAAAAGTTACTATTGATTTATTCAGTAGAAAGTATGAAGAAAATAAAGATCAAAGTTGCACAATCATGAGAAAGAAATAGTCCCTAAGTAGTGTCACATAAGCAGAGAGACTCAAAGAAGTCTGTGATTCTAGAATTGCTGCCATGAACTCAGATTGGGATATATAGCCAGATTGTCAGAGTGGATAATAGAGAAGTAGAGACTGTAGAGATGGATCATTTTTGTCACCAAGTTTAGCTTTAAAAAGAAAGAGAGATCATTAGCTAGGATACTTGATTGCTAAATCATTTTTTAATAGTTTAATTTGTGTTTTTAAGAGGAAGAGTATAAAGAATTTACAGTACAGAAAAGAATAAAGCTAATTGGTAAGGAAAATGAAGCCCAATATGGAAGGAAATGGCATTAAAAGAGTATAGTCAGTGAGTTGAGGTGAGGTTATCTATACGGTAGGAAGTTGAAGAAGATAGAATGGGTTTGCAACCACCTCACAGGATGAATTTTAGAGTGGCAGAATGCTCTTTGTAGTGTTGAATACATGTAGAGAAACTAGTTAACATGACTTTCCAACAAAATGTGGAAATCTGAGACTAGAAATTGACTGAAGAAAGGGGTTAGTAATTGGTAGAATGTGATTTTATCTAAGCAAAAGCACTTTTGTTGTACATGTCCATTGGGACAGCAATGAATAGAAGTGAAGGCAGAATAGCTCTGCAAAAACATATGACTGTTGAGAACATGGAAGTTCAGTGAGGCAAGTACAAAGGCCATTTGGGAGGAACTCAAAAGGTTAGTAAAGAAAGATTTTCCAAGTAGGAGATTATAGAGTGCCTGATCTTTTTTTTTTTTTTTTTTTTTGTGCCTTATCTTAATAGTGGTAATTGAATTTTTTTCCATATTATTTAAACCAAAATTTATTAAATGCCTTGTGTATGTGGCACATACACACATTGAGATATATCAGAATGAAATAAACAAAAATCCCTGTTATCAAGTAATTTATACTTTAATGGGAAGAAACAGACAATTGAAAAACATTAAGGTTTGTACAGAAAAAGCGGAGAAATAGGAGGTAAAGGAATGTGCAAACTATTTTAATAAAATGTTCAGGGAAGACTACCTCCTTGAGGTGATAGGAATAGAGATCACATCAGGGCACTGAGGGGTATTTGGATAGAAAGAATAGCAAGGAAAAAAGCTTGAGTTTAGAGCATTTGTGGTAAGCTTGATGGAAAGACTTATTTGTAGCTGGATAATATGAACAAGAAGGAAAATAGTTGTAGTGTTAGAGTTGTTAGGTTGGATGGAGGAGGATTGTATAAGGAAGGCATTGTGGCGTATTTCAGGAACCTTAGCTTTTACTTTCCGTGAGATAAAAATATTGAGGAGGTTTGAGCCAGGGGAGTGACATAATCTGATTTACATTTCAAAAGAGTCAGTCTGTTTACTGAAGTTTGGATTGTTGAAGAAGGCCCTGAAGAGGGAAACCAGTGCTAGTAATCACTCTAATAGATGATAATGGCTTTTACCATTGCAGTTGTGATGAAAAGGGTGAGAAATGGTTATATTTGTTGTATTTTGAACCAACAGCAAGTTGATTGATAGCATATTGGGTGTGAGCTAGATGAATTTTAACTCCAAGATGTTTCGCTTATATGACTAGAAGATTGGGATTGTCACTTGTAGAGTCAGGGTTTTAAGAGGAACAGAGGCTTATTTTAGATTTGATCAGAAACTCAGTTTTAGATGTAGCAATCATGAGATGTGTTTAAACAATGCCAGATAGTTAAATTGAGAAGTGTGTTCTTAGATTGATATGCACACTTTAAAATCACCTGTGTATAGATGGTAATTGAAACTAATAGACTGAATGTGGTCACCTATGGGAGTGAGTGAAATTAGAGAAGAGGTCTGATAAGATACAAGTAGCTGATGAAGTAGAAAGAAACTTCTGTCCTAATACCTGGTTTGTAGTAGGTTCTCTGAAGAGATTTCTTAAAGTAAATTGGTGTAGCCTCTCCAGGGAGTGATAGCAACAGTGTTGACAGAGGTCATTCTATTTGAAACAGTGTTCTTAGAGAAGAAATACTATTTTTTAAATACTATTTGTAATGCCCCATACATTTATTGAGCATTTAATAGCTGGTACACAGTTAAATGTTTTAAATGTATTACAAAGTCAGTTTTATACAGTTAGTATAATTATTAGTCACTTTTTTTAGATTAGGAAGTAGAGGCACAGAGCTGTTAGATGACTTCTACAATGTCACATGGCTAGTAAGTGACAGAGCTGTTATTTAAAATATAGCAGTTTTATTCTAGAACTTATAAGTTTAACATTTATATTATGTTGCCCATTCCTTGCATTCTTGAGTATTCAGGAATGATACCATAAAAACATTGCTAATGATAATAGTAGTGCTAATATAATTTATATATAGCATTTAACACAGTCCAGACACTGTTCTAAATGCATTGAATGCATTATCTTTTTAAAAATAGAACAACTCTATGAAGTATTTACTTTAACTGTGTAACTGTTACAGTTGAGGAAGCTCAGGACCACCGGCTTAAGCAACCTTTCTGAAGCTGCATAGTTAAATTGGCAGAATTAAAGTTTGAATTTACGAGACGAGCTCTCTCAACCATCATATCTTATTTCTTCTCTCACTTTAATACTTAAATATCATAATACATAATCAGATTACACGTTCTTTCCTTCAAAGTCTGTATTTTCATTGTACTACTATATTTTGTGTTGAATATTTCTGTGGAGAAGCTTGATTTCTGGTTTTGTTTGTTTCTGTAAAGTCCAGCAATTTCACTAGAACCTCTCTGTTGACATTTCCTGGAACTTGTCTTTGGATTTGAGCCTTTTTTCCCCGTCCCTTTACTGGAAATCTTACTTTAACTATTGTTTCTTGTTCTGTTTTATTCCTATTAGATGGCTTTTGTTTTTCCTGGATACCATCTTCTTTTTAATCCTTTGTATCTTCTAATTTTTTTTTTTCAGTCCTATTTCCCTCCTGCTTTCCTGTTTTTTTCAGTGACTAGCCTTTTTAAATTCTGGTTTTGTTGTGGATCCCTTTTCTGATAGTTATGGTTCGCTCTTTTTCACCTCCCCAGCTTTATAAATTTGTATTTCATCTCTATGTTGACTTGTGCTTTTTTGCGCTTTTTAAAGCTCTGTTTTTGCCTTAAGCTGTTATTTTTTTAGTAGAAATTTTTATTGAGTGATCATGGCAATATCCTTGATTATAATTTTATTTGTTCTATGACAACATTTTTCTTGTGAGTTTTGTTTCACTGGCTTACTTGCTCTATGCTAATTATTACTCTGTGTTTGAGAGAGTTATAGGAAGTTCATAGTATGTCCCAGAGCAGCAGAAAAATCTGTTTACATTTGAGTTTTTGTAGATTTTATTAGTGCTTATGTAATATAAATCAGAAGGATTATGGTTGTTTTCAATGTAGATGCTTTGCCTGTAGCCTTTTTCTAAAAACATAGTGTATCTATGTCTCTTTGTTTTACTTTTTGGTGTAAAATTATCCAGGGAAGCTCAAGTAATCAGAGAAATGCCTTGTTTCCATTTTTGCACGTGAAAGATGTTGATTTTTCTTTTAAGGTATGTTACATATTTTGAAAAATTGTGATATGGCGGTGCTGTTTGAGATTTACGGTCATCACTATCAAGCTTTTGTGACCTTTACAGCAGTTTACACTGCTTGCTTTCTTCTTCTTCTTCTTCTTCTTCTTCTTCTTCTTCTTCTTCTTCTTCTTCTTCTTCTTCTTCTTCTTCTTCTCCTCCTCCTCCTCCTCCTCCTCTTCCTGCTCTTCCCCCTCCTCTTCCTCCTCCTCCTCCTCTTCCTCCTCCTCCTCTTCCTCCTCCTCCTCCTCTCCCCCCCCTCCTCTTTTTTTTTTTTTTTTTTGTGGAACCGTGGATTGAATTCAGGCCCTTAAGCTTGCCAGGCAAGCGGTTATTCTACTGAGCCATCTTCCCAGCCACTGCTTTCTTTCTTTCAATGTATTTAGTACAGGGTCTGTATGGTCTTACTGCACAGATCGGATTCAGTGATCCTCCTGTTTTCAGCCTCCCAATCCCTAGATTATAGGATGTGCTGCCATGCCACCACGCCCAGTCTTAATGGATGTCTCAACACACCTGGGGGGCGGGGCTGGCATGGCAAGTCAGGGATTAAACCCCAGTCTTTGCATTTGCCTAATCAGGTGCTTTTATCCGCTGAGCTATCTGGCCAGCCCTACACTGGTTTCTTATATATTATACCTTATTGTTATAAACCTGTTTCTTAGGAGAAATCAGGTAGAACGTTTCATAGTGTTTAATATTTTTATCTCTAGGTGTTTTCTATTTTTTCAGACTGGTAAAAATGGTTTTAATTTATATTTCCTTGCTTGTTATTTAACAACATTTTTCCCTTTGTACTTAAGGGGTATTTATTTATATTCTTTTCTAAAAGGTCATATCAGGTCTTGTTCACAATTTAATTCTGCCATTTTTCTTTTTCTTTTTTGATACTAGAAATTGAACTCAGAACCTTGTGCTTGCTAGGCAGGCACTGTGCTGCTGAGCTACATCCTGGGCCCTGTGTTGTAATAATTATTTTATTTTTTTATATTTTAGTAGAGGGTCTATAGGGTCTACAGGGCCTCAGTACGTATATTGGACTTGTAGTGATCTGCCTGTTTTCAAACTCCCAAGAACTGGGATTAATAGGCATGAGCCACCATGCCCAGTCTCAAATCACCAGCTCAGCATACACTGGGGGTGGGGCCGGCACTGTATGCCAGATGTAATAATTCTTTTTTTTTTCCATAATTTTATTGATAAACAAATAGCAATGAGACAGTTTCAAATCAAATTGGTAGGACAGTCTCAATAATTAACACATTGCATACATTCCTCCCAGCGGTTAATTATTGCTGTACAAGTTGCGGACATGACATCCTGTCTGCAAACACCATTAGAACAAATCACTCTGTTCATTAAGAGAATGTAACTATATATCTATCCTAACCACTTTGAATACACAGATACAAAATGGACATTCATCTGTATCCCCTTTTTTTGTTAAGTTCCGTTATTTGAATATTATAGGTGTGTAAACTCAGCAAAATGTTCTAAAAGACTCCAGTAGCCCATAGTAATATTGAGTCTTTCGCTTCACTGGCAATGTCAGAAATTGTTGACCTGAGTCCCCTATAGCTCAACATAACAGCATGGCTTTACTTCTTACATTTTGTTTTTATACATTTCTGCTGGGTGGTTAAGACCAAGGTAAAGCAGAACCTGTAGAACAAGA